TCCCAGTTACTCTGCTTTGTACATTGGTGTAATGTCACTGACATCAACGGGTTATTCCTGATTTACACCACTGGGAGAGGAGAATCAGGCCCTTCAAGTTCACCTGCTGGGGACATTTCACAAATGATGGAGAGGCAGGCTAGTGGTAAAATGAAGTGGGAACTAAAGCAGCAGACTGGGAGTCAGGGGATATGGGCTTTATAGCTGGCTCTGACACAGACTACCTGTATGACCTTGGGCACATCTCTGAATCTCTGCCTCAGTTTCCCTTGTGTACAATGGGAATAATAGCCCTGCCTCCATCCAATTGTCTGTTTTGTCTCTCTAGACTGTGACCTCTTTGTGGCAGGGAATTGCCATGTGTTTGCACAAAGGGGCCCTGACTTTGGTTGAGGCCTTGAGGTGCGACTGTAATACAAAGAGGTACAGCTGTTGTCCCTCGCATCAGCAAGGCTCAGAACGCCACCGCTGGGGGGTGGGACACATGGCTTCCTGGCACATACTCTCAAACTGGCTTTGTTTGGGGCTCTTTGAGGGGTATGTGTGTGAAAATGAGCAAAGGGAAATCTGCTAGCAGAGAGATCTATGGGGTATGTGGACTACACTCCCCAACGGAAGGGGTGGCAACTTCATTGCTGGGACCTTTAAAACTAGGTGGGGCCAACACTCCCCACCCTCCCTCCCACCTTCCCCGCATCGTGTGGGCCTACCAGGGCTCTCTCATTGTTCAAGTCTGCGGGATCTGATACTGCGAGGTGTCTGGGGAGGATGGAAGAGCCTGGAATGGGGGAACGGAAGATGAATGGGATGAGTGTGACAGGGAGGTGGAATACAATGTCCTCTGTTCTTCATATCGCCAGATTCCCCCCCCTTCCCCATGTTATTCTCCTGTAGTTGTCTACCCTGCCCTGGGTACCCTGGCCTCTGTGGAATCCTGCGCACTGAGCGCCCTTGGGTCAGGCACATCATGGTCGCATTGTTAACTCCTCGGACATGGCAGCCTGTGAGCGCCAGACTGACGCTGGGGTTTCTGTGCAAAGGGAGGTGCTGGCAGCCTGAGGCAAGCACCTGACAGTGGCTCCGTGCCCCATCCCCTTTCTGTCCCTGCATACCTGTCAGGAGGGGCCCAGGTGCAGGCAGAGCTCTCAGATGCCAAGCCAGCCGGGGCAGCTGCAGCAGCCACCCCCTTTGAAGGGAGGGCTGCTGGCTCAGTGCAGCAGGGAGGCAGACAGCAGCCTGAGCCAAGCCCTGCACTCTGTCCCTTCCCTCCAGCTGCCTGCACGCACAGAACAGCCTGAGGGGGTGGGGCAGCCAGCTCATGGCCAGTCTCAGCTATGAGGCTGCATGTCCACCTGCAGGGAAACCACAGGCCCAATCCAGACGTGCAGCCTTGGGGGAAAGGATGCAGCCTGGGGCTCTTCACAGAGGAAGGGGATGAGGCATGGTAGTGTAGCTCCTCAGTGGACGTCACTCCAGTACCTCCAAGAGGGAGAATGGAGATCCAGCCAGCTGGAGGTAAAACATCCCGGCCCTCCTACCCTGCAGCCCCTGCATTGGGCCACAGGGACACCCCATGAGGCAATGCCCCCGGTGCATGCGGCTGCGGCCTGCCTGCCCTGCCATTTCCATACCGGAACAGCACTGGTTCCACCGGGTCAAGGTGTACCCGTGGCAAGGGAGGACTTGGCCCAAACTCATCAATCCAGGCAGTCCTGTGTCAGCAGGGTTCTTGCCACAGAAGAAAATCCATCGTCTCTGTGACTGGGGTTTAGGAAATTCCAGAGAACTGGGAAATGGGGAAGGAGGGCAGGGAAGCACCTCAGCCCCCGGACGTCGCTCTGACATGCAGAACGAGCCAAATTGTATTTGCTGGACATCGGATCAGAAAAGGGAAAAGAAAGAGGTTTACCAATTCCTAGCCTGAGGCAGTTTAGGGCTAAGTAAATCCTGCAAGGCCAGGCTTCAGACCTGTAATTGCCTAGGGGCTGCAGAGGCAGCTGGGACATAGGTCATCTCTTGTAAGAACAGATCTGCTGCTCTGATTCCTGTTGTCCCACTCTGCCCTTCAAGTGCCTCAGACAATGCAGAGTCCATCCAGAAACCTCTTCCCTGCAGGATGATGGGTTTCTGAGGGGGTAGGGGGTGAGTTATGGGGCTTTTCACCTCTGACTCACAAGCTCGGCTCCAGCCCCAGGTTGGCGGAGACTGAAAGTCCTTCCCCTTTCCTGTTGGGTGGCCTCTGAGGGGAGCTGTCGCTGCAGCTTGCTGAACAGGTGATTACATCACCGTCCTGCTGGGAAGTGACTGTGCCCCTCATGGCTGTCATGACTACGGGGCTAACTGCACCTCTGTCCCCATTCTGATCTCTCTGAGGGCACCTCCTCCGGTGTTTGGCCTCTTGCCCATTCTTGGCCCCTGGTGGGGTCTCAGCATTCTTCCAGCATCAGCCCAGGAGCTGGGGACACTCCCCTGTGTACGGCAACTGCTCGTCACCCTGCAACTCCATCCGACTGTGCTCAGGCCCCCTACATTTCCTCCTTTTGGGCACCTGAGCTCAGTGATAGCAACCAGCAGCTGCCTTGAAAGCAGGTGTTTTTATTTAACAGTTGGAATAAAGCATTAGAGAGAGAGGATTTTAAAACAATTGAAGGCTGCCTCAGCCAAATACTAGCCCACATTCAGTCTCATCTAATCTGATGCTCATTGCAAGCTTCGTGCTAGGGGTTCCTCGTAAGTCAGGAGCAGAGCGGGACCAGCTCACATGAGCCCAGCGAGCCCAGATCCTCCTGAGAGTCTGGGAAGCAAGTGGCAGGTTTTGGAATTGAAGGGATGGGAATCACAGCCCCAGGGGATTGTGGGGTAGCACTGGCAGACACTCTAGACCCGAGTCTGGCAACCCGGACTTGAGCTGTGTCTACGCTGCAGCATGCCTGGGCTCTGATGCGCATCACAGGAGGATCGGGCTCTGACTCGCCCGCCTCCAAGGGTCCACGGGCCCAAGTCAAGAGGGGTTATTGGTCTGAGTCAGACTCATTTCTGTGTGGAGGGAATGGGAGCTTGGGCTCGAACCTGAGTCTGCACCGAGCCTGCACTTAGTGTGCAGCGTAGACATACGCTGTGGGACTCCGGCTGGTTCCTCTGGTGCAAACAGGTTTGGGTGCTCCCCAAGGAGCCATTAAGGCTACTTGCTGTGACGTTGTCTCTTAATGACCCTTAAGTATAAGCTGTTAGAAAAGCCTCCTCTCTCTTGCCCTAGCTGGTAGGCTGTGCTAGCCAGATAGACCCTGCGGGTGACATATCCACCTCCATTTCTGCTACAGACACATCATGCTAGAAATAGGGCTAGTTACAACATTAATAATCACCAAAGAGCAGGAGCTGGGGACGCTACCCAGGTTTATCAGGGTTTATTATTGTCATGATCTATGGAACACAGTTCTTCTGGAGGAATCTATTCAAGAAATTAACTCTACACTTCAGACTCAAAGAAAGAGGCACAGCTTGAGTTCCAGGTTTGTCCGTCTCGTTTACCAGGGACTAGAGCCCGGCTAGAGCTCATGCAGAATGCTGTCACAGCTAGAGGCTGAGTAACACATGGGAAATACTTAACCATTACGATATCTGTGGTCTGGAAAGGTCGCAACGCACTCTAAGGTGGAACAGAGCAGATTTAATAGCAAATCTACACAGTGTAGGATAGGATGTGAACAACTGATTCAACTGAAAATGCAGGGGAAACAGACTCTACCACACTGGAATTTGGCCAGGGCTTTGGGGTGAAGATCTCTTTCCTGGTAAAAAGCACCTCCGGGGCTCTCTAGTCAGGCCCTCAGTATTCCAGCTTAGCCCAAAGACAGCACCTTTAGCAGCACAGTGCCTCCTAATGCCTGACTAGGGCATTGGTTCAACAGTGACTGAGGGAAGAACCTCGCCTGCTGAATCTTCAGTGCTAGTTCCTGGAGTGCCTGGGTTTTCCTTGAAGGCCGCCCCAGCCAAATACTAGCCTAGCTCAGCCCTGGTTAGCTAAAGGAATCTGGGGGCGTGCCTTGCAGCACAAGGTGGCATGGCTTCTGGGAGCTCCCATAACTGACCAGGCGTGGAGCCTCAGCTACCCCATCACCCCTAGGTCAAGCCTGAGACACCCTGGCATGGGGGTTTGTGTTTAGGAAGGTTGCCCAGCCTCTTGCCTGTGCTGTCACCACAAGAAAGACAAGGTGGGTGAGTGAATATCTTTTACTGGACCAACTTCTGTGCGTGAAAGAGACATGCTTTCAACTACACAGAGAGTGCCTTGAAAGTTTGTCGCTTTCACCCACCGACATTGGGCCAGTAACCGATCTTACCTGACCCACTTTGTCTCTCCCACATCCTAGGACCAACATGGCTACAACAACACTGCAAACTATACCCAAACGTGGCATTAACACTCCATAGCCCTCTGCGGCTAAGTGCACCTGCTGCGTTAGTGAGCTGAATATGGTATTATGCGTCCATTGCAGTGGAAGGCAGTGGCCCACACAGTGCGAGCAAGCACATTTTACACTGCTGCCTCTCCCCGGCCCCCAGCAACTTTCATTGGCGGCATGTTCAAATTCTACAATTAGTTTGGTCTATCCCAAAGAATCCCTGTATTTGTTGCCCAGGCACACAAACTCCACCCAACGCCCAGGGATGCCTCGCTTTCCGTTGCTCTGCTCGAAAGCAAAGAGCCAGACAACATAAAGGAAGCTTCCCCCCAACATTTGTGACTTCGCGCTCCAAGACTGGCAGCCAGTCGTACTTGCTTCTCAAGGGAGCAGCCTACAGTGCTGTCAGTTGAGAGGCATGTCGAAATTGGCAGATCTTGGAATTTCTGGACCTCGTAAATTTCTGGGTGGATCAGGAAACAAAAATTGGTTGTTTAGCTTAAATCTGATTGGCTGGAGCAGCCAGGGCCCCTCCCTCCTACTCCTAAATATTTAGTCTGCAGAAGGCAGGTGCCATAGCAGACTCTGCAGAGCTTGAGCCAGTGTGCAGTGAGAGCAGCATCTGCCTGTAGGAGAGATGAACTGTTGCCGGTACCCTGTTGATGTGAAAGCTGTTGGCTTGATGCAGTGCAAAAAGCAGAAGGTACTTTGATCTGAGTCTCTTTCCTGGAAATATATTGACCACTGCAAATTAGGAAACTTTAGAGCTTTTTATTTTACAACTAGAGGGTCATGTTAGCTCTTCTGCTTGCCAATAGTGGGATCACAAAGTTATCAGCTGGGACAGGAAGAATCTAACTTTTTCAGGGCCACATCTTAATAGAATGGCTGCCTCTTGGCTTCCCTGCCTTTCCATCCGTGATCCTGTACATTACCTCTAGCTCCTTCAGTGATTCCTTACAGGGAAAAGTAACTCTAGGAAAGGATTTAGCTTTTTAAAATTATTATTATTTTATTTTATTTTAAATGTGCCTTAACAGCTGGAAGCCAGCACTCTTGTCTCTGCGGACCCCCAGCAAGAGCTTGGTGCACCCCCAGTCTGGGAATCTCAAACCGCAGCTAGGGTGATCAAAGCCTGTTTTATTCCCTTTTTCAGAAGTACATGATGGCTGTGTCCTGGTCAGACCGAAATAACATTCTCATCTATAGGACTTTTGAAGAGTTTAAGAAATTTCATGTAAGTTAACAAATCCCTGGAAATGATTTCCATACTGGTGTTATTTTGTTGCTGCCATTATTGGCAGGTGGGAATGCCATTGCTCATTCTCTTTCTTTCCTTTCTTGCTCTCTGGGGTCACTCAGAAAGTATTGAAGAGAAAATTCCCCATAGAAGGTGGTTTACTGAAGAAATCTGACCGGAGCATTCCAAAGTTTAAAGGTAAGGGGATTTGATAAACAGGAGAGAGGGAAGGGAAGACCAACAAAAATGACTGGAGGGGTTGGAGGGAAGACCCTGAAGTGGCAAGGGGACTAGAGGTCAGTCACTGGGTCAGAGCTGCAGCTGGTGCTGATTTACACCAGTGCAGAATCTGGCCTATTGTTGGCTTAAAAAAGGAACACATTTGGTAATTAACTTTCCAGTTTAAATATTGATCCAAGCCCTTTGCAACATGATACAGTGCAACCTTCATGCATGATCAAGGGCAAATGTAAGGCTTGATACAAAATAGCACTAACTCCAAGGCAAAAGCCATTGAAAATGGTGAGGAGAGACACAACAATATTTACAGTAATTGATCCTGGTTCTATATATGAAGTCTCATACTGGGATGGGAATTAGCAATGTGTTGGCAGAAGGTACTGTGTACAAAGCAGTAGCACGTTATAGTCACTTGCTGACAGTGTTTTGCTTCTGTCACTTCAAAGATGCAAAATTGATGCAGAGAAAGAGCAGGAATTTGAGCAGGTCAATGGAGAGATTGAAACTGCTGGAGACTTACTCCCAGGAGCTGCTGAAAGCGGATGCTAAGGTCTCCCAGAGTGAAGATGTGATCCAGTTTTTCAAAGCTCAAACCCAAGACCTAGATCCTTCCTTTCCAGAAAACAGGTACTGATGGATTACCCTTCCCCGGCTTTTCACATTTCTGTTTCATAAACAGGGGGAAGGGAAATTTCAATACAAAACGTGGAGAAAAAATTTTTTTTTTTTTTTCCTGAAGAACGTTTTCCATTTTGTGATCCACTCTGAATTAATTAGTAATGCAGGAGGACTGAAGTGACATTGAATGATAAAAACACTGATAAGTTTTCTATAATGCTTCCCCCTGTTCTCCTTGCACCTTGATCCCTTTTTCCATTCTTACTTTTTTCAGGATGCAGAACTTTGCATTTTCTAGATATTGCTGGTTTCACTCAGACCACCGGTATATTTGTGCAGCAGAGCAGAAATAAAAATCAGCCAATATTTTCCTTAGTAATAATGTCTCTCAGCAATCTATGATCTGCTTCCCTGCCTGAGATTCTGTATTAGCAACTGCTTTTCAAATCTAGAGAGCTAGCTCATTTGAAATCATGGTTTTCAATTGGCAAACAGCAAAACAATAATAATGAACATATTAAAAATGAGGCAGTTTTCATTCTAGATCAAAGCACGCTCAGAAACAAAGTGAATTTCAGGGTTTTGATGTCTTGCTTAATGCAAAATGGATGGAGCAAGTTAATTACACTTTTGCAGACAGACAGAAAGCAAACAGGCAGGCTAACAACCTGTGTGCACCATGCTCTGACTCTTGCAATTCAGAAGGGTCATTACAAACCCCTGCAAAGTGGAAATGCAGATACTGCTAGGAGTGTGGGCCAGTGGTAAGGGACGGAGTATGGGAACCAGGGCCCTTTCGAGGTTTATTCCCAACTCTACGACTGTTTCACTGAGTGAGTTTGAGCACCTCTCTCAAACTCTCTGTGCCTCAGTATCCCACCTGTGAAATAGCCATAAGAACTCATGTGAGAGGACAGCTATGTTTGGGAATGTTTGCTGAGTGCTTTGAGATCCTATGGATTTAAATGATGCCTACCTGTTGTCCTGGCTTTCTGCATAGGGGTAAATTGCACCCAAAGGATGTTCCTGAAATTGATCCTAAATGCAGTCTCTCTCCTGGCTGCAGAACAAACCAATGTCACACTTTACTTTCCAGCATTATAATTATGCCCTCAGAAATGGGAGATGGAAAGAAAGACCAGCCCAAGCAGCAGAACCCCTCTGTTACTCAGCCGGTAGTCTCCCAGAGCTACAGCTGCATTGAAGCCTATGAAACCAAAGACACAAAGAACAGACCCTTCAAAGTTGCCAAGAAGGAAATTGTCGAAGTGTTAATCAAGGACATGACCGGTATGTCTTGTATGGTTGGTTATTTTCTGGTTTTGGATGTGAATTCTAGAGATTTTTAGACTGGCTTGTGGCCTGACAAAAATGTGTGTTTGTGTTTTGTTTTGTAATATGGGGTGTGTATACTGGATGGTATAACTTACCTTGTGTAGGACTGTAAATATTTTATCAAGAAGAAAAGAACAAGTGAAGTAGGATTTTCTGGTTGGTGGAACAAGGAGTGCAAGTGTCAGGACTCCTAGGTTCTATTCCTAACCTTGGGAGAGAGCATGAGTTGGGGGCTCCAAGATCCTGACTCCCAGGGCTGCCCCATTTATAAAAACAATGGCAAGTGTTAGGCCATTTAATGTGGGGTGGTTGCCATCTCCTCTATAATAATTAACAGAGGGGCTGCAAGCTTCAATAATGAATGGCTGAGAAGCACTTTGACAGCAGTGTCCAAGTGCAATGTATTGTGTTATTAAAAGTGCTCCTGCATTACATGCTCCCTCCTGCTGTTTGCTGCAGGGTGGTGGCTGGTGGAGAACAAGGATCAGCAAATAGCCTGGTTCCCAGCTCCGTATCTGGAGGAGAGAGTAACTGGGGAGGAGAGTCCAAATGCCAGAGAACTGGATGAGGAGGGTGAGTCTGTTTATCCCTTGCTGTGGCTCTGAGCTTTCCATCACTTGGGGCTGCATGTCACTACACTGACATTTCTCCCCTAAAAGTAGGTCCTGCAAAAAAATACATGTTTCAGCTCAGAATGAAAAACAAACACATCACAGAGAGGAGACACGAGCTGGTGGTTAACACCCAGGACTGGGACCTGGGAGACCTGGGTTCCAGTGCCCAGCCCTGCCACTGACTTGTTGTGTGACCTCAGGCAAGTCCCTTATAGGGATGTCTATTTAAAGCTCACACTCATCTGAACACGTTTACCTGTTGTCATTACAAACAGCCCTGTGGATGACAATTTTCCCCAATTTGTTTCCTTTGTGCTTTTGGCGACGACAATTACCCTGTGGGTCAGTTGGTCATTTTTCCGGACACCCAACTGGTAATGGGACTTGGGGCCAGGGGCAGCACTTGGAACCCACTTTAACTTCCTGAAGACTGACTAGATTTGGAGTTGACATGGTGTCTTTTAGCCCTAGGCCTTGGTTCCTCCATCTCCGTAATCCTTACCCACTGCAAAGGGGCTTTGTGAGGCTCAATTTTTCTAATGCGTAAATTCACCCTTGTCCAGAGGGCCAGTCTAAAGTGACGCCTAGACATTGGGCTGGTCCCTCCATCTGGGGTGAATGATCCCCTAAGGCTTGTAAGTTCTGCTGCCCAGATGGCAGGCAGTCCAGAGTGGTGTTCCTACACTCTATCCAGGGCGCTCTCTTACCTGCAAAGCAGAAATTACCCCTTCCTCTTTCTTCCAGGGACTCTGTATTACGCCATGCGGGCCTACGAATCTCAGAAGGCCGATGAGCTCTCTCTGAATGTCGGGGTAGTTGTGGAGGTGCTGGAGAAATCTGACAATGGCTGGTGGCTGATCTGGTAAGGAGGTTCTCTTCCCCCATCCCCCTTCTGAGTCAGCGCTCCATGAGAGAGCCCGTTAGCAGCGACTCACTCATTCCCAGCCCTGGGGAGGGTGTGCAGGGACCTCTCAGCCTTTGGCAGTGACCCAGACTGTTTTAGAGAACTCTCTCACCCAGGCAGGGATCTTTCCCCTGTCTTTCTGTCTAATACACAGGAATGGGCTGGACTCCCTTGAAGGGTCGGGGGTCCAGGGACTGAAGGACTGCACTTGGGGACAGCTAGCCCTGTGCTGGGGAGCCTGTCCAGTGCTGCTTGGGAGGAATTAAGAATCCTCAGTGAAACTTCCAGGGCGAAATCCATCTCTCCCCCACAAAACCCTGAGTGAACGGACTGTGTGTGGGGAAGCAGTCGGAGACTGGCATGGAATTCATGCCTATGGGCTGGGATGGCAGCCATCGACCCCAGTACACCGCTACCCTAGCTGCAGAATCTCTATGCGGGCATGGATACGGTTACCCTGGCAGCACCCCAGTGACCCCTCTGTGCTTGTCCACTGAAAGCTGGCATGGATCCCGTCAGGGCAGCTTGCAGGGCCCCGCTCCCTTGGGATGGATTCAACCCCAAAGGCTCTATTTGAGCACACCATTCTACACGTCCCATGGGTCTCATCTGTCATCGAATCATAGAAGATGAAGGTTGGAAGAGACCTCAGGAGGTCACCTAGTCCAATCCCCTGCTCAAAGCAGGACGAATGCCAACCTTGTCTCCCTTGGCTTTGGTGTCACCAGTTCTGAGCTCGCTCCTTGTCTTCCCTTTGCCCAGCCCCACCCCAAGTTCTGTCCCTATCTCCCAGGTCTGGCGTAGGTGGCTGGTACCTAGCACCCCCCGCCTGCATTTCCCTGGGATGGGAGTGCCCTTAGGGACTCTGATCTCCCCGGCATGGTTGGATCACACGTGAAGTTGCCCTTATCCTTAAGTATTGCCTTCCCCTGCTTTTCCCTCAGGTACAATGAGCGCACTGGCTACATCCCCTCCATGTTCCTCCAGCCCTATAAGAACCCGCACAGCAAGTTCCAAACAATGGTGAACACTGGCCTCTGTGTGTCCACCCCTAACCTGCTGCAGGCCGCCAGCCTCTCCAACTGGAGTTCCCTCCCCCAGCGCAAGACACAGGCAGGGGACGAGCCCCCGACTCGCTCAGCGCATGAGAGGCCCATAAAGGACAGGGATCCTCCGAGCAGAATGAGATCGAGATCTCTGAGCGGCCCGCTGCCTGCGGCAGAGAGCACAGCCAGCTCCAACCTCACGTGTGAGCTAGACAGCCTGTCTGTTAGTTCTGGGAGCGGGAGCGAACACGGCTTCAACCGGGATTGGAAGGCAGTCTCATCAGGGTCTCTGCCTGGAGTCAAGCAGGCTGGGGCTGGCCTCCTGCAAGCGAGCCTAGGTCAAGCCTCGGCCAGTCGAGGCAGCAAAGCTCCTCACCTCACCAGCAAGGATAGGAATGATTCAGGCTTTGAGGAGGAGTCTCCAAGCGACTCAGATTCTTTCCTTCACAGCCCAGACTCTGCTGCCAGCATCCCCAAGGTGCCCGTGCGACCCGCGGTCCAGGAAATCCTCCAGAAATGCAGCACTGTGACCAAGAGAGCCATGCAAAGGGCTGCACCCAGGCCAAGCCTGCAACCCTCCCCTCACCTCCACCCTGGAGGGGAGACGTGTGCAAAACCGACTGATGCTCTAGACCATGTGTGCCTCCGATGAGACTCCGTTATCGCCCTGAGCTGGAGGGTGGAGACTGCAGTAGCTGAAATTCCTGACATTATCCTGGCTCAGCTGACTGAGAGGATGGACTCAGCCTTTAACTCCTGGTTGGAAGCTGCTCTTGCATGGTTGCTTGACTGGCTGGTTTGCACTAATACACTGGACTCGCTGTTCACACAGGAAGAACTGGAGGCTGGAATGCCGCAGAATTGTCTCTGCTGCAGATACTGCACCAGATCCGCAACTGGCATAAATGGGGTCATTCCACTGACTTCAGTAGAGTTGTTTACACCAGCTGAGGCTTTGGCCCACTAACTGGTTAAGAGGTTAAACTTTAGAGTTAAATTAATCCCAGCCATCTGCCTAAGGATTGCTTTACCCCATTATTGGGGCATGAAGGGAACTGAGGCCCAGAGGCTAAGTGACTTGCTCAAGGTTATGCAGAAAATAAGAGTAGGAAATTGAACACTGATCTTGTAAGTGCGAGGCCAGCACCCAAACCACCAGACCAGCCTTCCTCTGAAAGACTTGTACTTAAGTGCAGTGTTAAATCAGTGCAGGCTGGGATCAGTTTGCTTTACACATTGTAACCACATCTCTCACACTTCAGCACATGTATTCTCTTAGGGTCCACTGCAGCGTTAGGCGATTCAGTCCCCACCCTTGTAAACAATCACATTTGTTGGGAGGAGAGGGAGTTCTCTGACCCAGACTTTCTTTCGCTTATTTCGGTAGAGCCAAGTGAATAATTCATAGGAATCATTTATTCAAACTGTCCAGTCCTCTGCTCTGTCCCCAAATTGACCTGCGAGCAGTTTGGAATGTTGTTGAACCATGAATGAATTCAATGCTATTTGTCAAACCGTTTTGGTGAATCACACTGGATCTGCAGATTGGCCACCAGAACTGAAAAGTCAAGCTGTTAGGCAGCTTGGATGGCTGGCTTTATCCTTCCAAGGCGGGTCTGTACGGGCTTGGGCACGTAAGTCCCATGATCTCACTTATCTATGTGAATGACCGTAATTATTTGGATCAGGTCTTTGGTGTGAATTTTCCCCCTTATGAGCTAAGTGTTGACTGCCAATGAAGATTCTCTAATATTAGCTTAAATTCACCCTTTACACAACCATTCCCACCTGTAAACTCACTCCTGAAGATGCTCATGGGAAAACCTATTTTTAATTCAAAGGCGCTTTAAGCTATCCCACCCCCGAGCAGTAATTTAATTACCCTTCCATAAATCTGCTATTCTGACTTTCTGAGACATGCCTGTGAGATCACAATGAACCAAGCTGTTTTGTTCAGCTTGCAAGGTATTTATTGTTCTAAATTACATGTATTTATGGCTTGGTTTGGATTAAACATATGATAGAACCTCTCAGTTTCTTAGAACTCGGACACAGTACTTGGTTTATTTTACATTTCAAGGATCTGTTCGTTTTAGGAATTAAAATTTGGCAGGTGATGAGTTTGGAGGGTGATGGGTACAGCCTAGGAACCTGGGCCAGATCCTCAGCTGCTGTGGATTGTCAGAGCTCCTTGGGGATGTGCAGGAAATCAGTCATCTAGGAACACAGAATTACAGACAAAAACTACTTGAAAAGAACATTAAGGTTGCAAAGTGCCTGAATTCAGTTTGCCTGTGCAAAGAAAGGTTTCAGCACATGGCCACAACCTTGGGTAACAGCCAAATGTCTGCCCTAGGATGGACTGTGATTTCTTTAACCGTCCTTCCTCAAGAGTCTTGTGACTACTCATTTGGCATCCCTGCAAGGCTGCAGCATTGTAATTGTCTCATGGCTGCTCTGGGGCAGTTCTCAGTTTGTTTTCTTAGGCTTTGCTTCCTTCCTGACGAACCTGGGAGGCACTTTCTGTTTATTTTTAAACCTCTAAGCCTCCTATCCACTCCGCAGTCACTGCCCCTCTTGAATCACTTACTGCACCTCAGCTGGGGTGACCAGATAGCAAGTGTGAATAATCTGGACAGGGGATGGGGGAGTACAAGGCATCTATATAAGACAAGGTCCTGAATATCAGGACTGTCCCTATAAACTCGGGACATCTCAGCACAAGTGCACCCTTTGAGCATACTGTTTGCGCTGCAGCTTCTCCTTTTGAAGATTAAAAGTTGAAATCGCTTATTATGGGAATTAGTAGCTTTAACCTGCTCCTCCTGCAATGACACATTAAAGCTTCTCAGCCACTTGAAAGAACAAGGAGTCCTTGTGGCCCTTTAGAGACTAACAAATGTATTTGGGCATAAGCTCTCGTGAAGTGGGTTTTACCCCACAAAAGCTTATGCCCGAAGAAATTTGTTAGTCTCTAAGGTGCCACAAGGACTCCGCGTTGTTTTTGCTGATACAGACTAACACGGCTGCTACTCTGAAACCTGTCAGCCACTTGAGGAATTCCTGTTTCCATCTCACAGGGAGAAAGATGCGGACACGGTGACAATGTCTGTGTGCAGAGAAATTAAAAGCCATTAAGAAGCAACTTCCTCCCTCTCTGCTCTCTAGGGATCGCATCTGCTTACGCATGGCTGCAGCTGCTCTCTCTGCATAGTGATTTTCAGCTCTGCCTCTCCACGCCTGAGCTGTCGCTTGTCCAATCCCACAGGTCAGCCTGTCTCTCTGACCTCTCCTGTTGCATCTCATGCCATCAATTGCAACTCAGCATGGCCAAAACAGAATTGGTCTCAATCCCTCACTCCTTCTTTTCCCCATCACTGCTGGCATTTCCACCCATCCTCCCAGGCCCCCAAACCTAGGTGTCATCCTTGACTCTACCTCCCTCTAGTCCCACACATCTAGGCTGTCCCCAGATCTCACTACTGCTGCTTCCCTAATGGTTCCACGAGCCAGTCCCCCTCTCTGGCCACACTGCTGAAATTCTCATCTCGCTACTCGAATACAAAGAATGAAATAAGCCCGTGGCACCCATGCTGGGTGAGGGCGGGAAACACTCCTCAGAAGAGCCCTACTGCACTCCAAGGCCTGCCCCCAAACCTTTATCTTCTAATCCCAACAAGCAGCCTCATACTAATAGGAGTGACCTATCTTACGGGTGGCGCTGTCCATTGCAAAAGTCCGAGGAGCGGGAATGTCCCAAGCCTGTAAATTCCGTGACTGTGCGGTTGGAGCAGCAAGCCGGTCCAGAGCTCTCCTTAACACTGACGGGCTCCGCAAGTCGGCCCATCCCAGGGCGTGCTGAGTAACTATCCCTGTGCGGGCTCTGTACAGCTCAAGCCAGATGCATCAGTGTCACGGAGAGATGAGCTGCCCAAGGTACGCTGCTGGGGTGCAGGTTGATGGCTCAGTGCAGCATGAGGACACAGATGAAGCCAAGCTTTTCCTCTGAGTTGTAAATATATTTATATCTTCCAAATATGTATTTTCCCTTCGCCTGGCAGTGCATGGGAACATGATGTTGGCATCCTGGTCAAGTCAAATGTATATGTAGGAAAGAGAGGCTGACAGACCCTTTTAATGCACCATCGTAGCTGCATGGCACTGAGAATATATGCTTAAGAGGCTGGGGGGGGGGCAAGGGGTGTTGGATAATGGGGTCGAAGGGGAGGGTTGGAAGGGGTTTACAAGACATCTATTTTGCAGTTGTTCTCCCCATTTCACAAACTAAAAACTAGCGAGTTGCCAACCCAATATATTGAGCTTTTCAGAATATGTTACGTGACAAGCGGCTACTCCAACCTCTGAATAAAGAGCAGTAAGCGACAGCCAAAGGCTTCAGTAATCCGGAGAGAGAAGAGGGCTCACGGCTGCCTGCAGAATTCCAACAGCGTTTAAGCCAGTCCCTGTGCGGAGAGTCTCTGCTCAGCGATCCATTTCAGCTCAAAATCTGCAGAGGCGTCCTAAGAATGGAAGGGGCACAAACTGGGATGTGCCATTGTTACGTTAAAACAGGCAAAGGACCCTGGCTGGCAGGCCGTAACACGGGGTGGGGACGTTTTGGCCTGAGGGCCACATTGGATTCCGAAACTGTATGGAGGGCCGGGTTGGGAAGGCTGTGCCTCCCCAAACCCTAACTTATCTGCCCCCTCCCAATTCCCACCCCCTGACTGCCCCCCTCAGAACCCCCAATCCATCCAACCCCCCCCCACTCCTTGTCCCCTAATAACCCCCTCCTGGGACCCCCTGCCCTTAACCGCCCCCCTGGGACCTCACCCCCATCCAACCCCCCCTGCTCCCTGACTGCCCTGATCCCTATCCACCCCCCGCCCCCTGACAGGCCCCCCAGGACCCCCCCCTCCCCCTAAAGCCCCTTTCAGAATGCGGCCCTGTGAACATGGGCGGAGGAGCAGGGGCAGCCAGAGAGACGCGGCGGTTTCCCCTTCAAAGCACCGCTTCTCTCCGGCCGGCTGCGCGGCCGCCCCTGCTCCTCCCGAGTCCTCCGCCCGCGTTCGCTGCACTCCTGCCACCCGTCTGCTCCCTTGTGGCTCCTGGTGAGCCTCCCTCCCTGCTCTCCCCTGCCCCCACAGTGCAGCCCCCTCCCGTGCTGGTGGCGCAGTACACTGAAGCTGCGGGGTAGGGGGAATAGCAAGGGAGGGGCCGGGGACTAGGCTCCCCGGCCGGGAGCTCAAGGGCCGGGCAGGACGGGCCCGCGGGCCATACTTTGCCCACCTCTGGCCTAACACATGCATGCCGTGAAGTTGTAGCTGGGCAACAGAGGCAGGCAGCGGCCAGCAGACGGCACTTACAAGGAGAGATGGGGGTTAAAACGCAGTAACTCAGACTAAAGGGCCTCTTGCGGCAGGTTACATTATAGATGACACGGTGCTTAGATTTAAGTGCTAGTGATGAGCGCTTTGCAGTAGCTGAGACACTGGTTAAACGGGGGACTCGCCTCCATTCAGCCCAGTTGTTTTCTCCTGCAGGTGAGCACCGAGTTCGTATTATGATCGTTGCCAGAGCAGCAGATCGATGTATTAGAGATACAGCAGATTCTAAGTACCTGAGGGAGACTCTGCTGCTGATTTGCTCCTGGGAACTGTTAGAAGTGGAGAGTAAAGTCTCCAAGGGTGAAACCGGTGTCCAGCGTTTCATGGCAGAGTTTCTGGAGCCTGTGTTCTGCAGAAACCAGGACCCATCAGGCATGCCTTTCCTCCCAATTAATTATCTTGCAAAACACTTTAAAGATGTAGAAAGCTATACAATAAGCGCTGAGCAGCAGTACTGGTTCACTCAGCACAGTTCTGAAGACCAAGGTTCTGATGAAAATACTCCTGTAGAGGCAGGGAGCTTTCCTCCAACAGCTCCTCGTTTTACCAATGATTTTTGATCTGTAGATCTCTTTTCAAAATGTCATTTGCATTTTCAAACAGCCCTGGGCTTATTAAATGCAAACAAACTAGGGTAGAACAACATTGCAGGGCTGTAAGAAACTGACCAGAGCAAGATCATTCAGGTGTAATATTATCCCTCCCTCTTTCGTCACCAGCTATCAGAGCAGCTAAAAGCAATATAGCCAACATGCTGGCACAACAAGGTGAGTGAACGATTGGAGAAGTAGCCTTAAGGAGAACTGCAGTAATTAGCCCTAACATCTTAGTTTGATACATGGCACTGGTCTTTCTCCAGTAACAAAGTTTTAAGGCCCTGATTCAGCAAACCGCTTTAGGCACATGCATGCTTTTACCCGGTAAACAGCACAGATTATACCTATTCAGGGAGTTACCACCCCAGAGACTCTTTTCTTTCAGTTTTGTGATCATGCAACCAGCCCCAGGATCTGGGCAGAAGGTACAACCTAAGCCAAGCAGCTGTTCCATCAGGCACCCAGCAATCTCCCAGAGTTACAGATGCATTGCAGCCTCTGAAACCAGACACAAACAGACCCTTTCAAGTTAACAAGGCTCCAGTCCCCAGTGGATTAATCAGGGCCACCAAAGGCATGTTTTCCATCTGTTGTCATTTGGAGCTTAAGATGTGAAGTAAAAGATTAGAGTCTCCACAGAAAGGTTTTGTGGTTGTGAGCTGCCAACAACTCTGTTTATGGGATCTGCTCTTATGGAAATGTATTTGATCAAGGGAAAAATGGGCTTGCAGTTCTTCTGGTTGTTACATGCTCCTTTCTGCTGGTTGCTGCACTGGGGTAGCTGGTGATGGTGGAGTACTAGCTAAACCTGGTTCCCAATTCCATTTCTGGACAGGACGATTAGGCCTGGTCTGCACTATGAGCTTATGTCGGCTTTAGCAGCATTAAATCCAAATTAACCCTGCACCCATCCACACAATGAAGCCATTTTTTCGAAACAAAGGGCTCTTAAAACCAATTTCTGTACTCTTCCCCAAGGAGGGGATTAGCGCTGAAATTGACATCGCCGTTTTGAATTAGGGTTAGTGTGGACCCAATTCGAAGGTATTG